TCCCTCTTTCTTTTCTTTCTTTCTGTTTGGCTCAGATAGATGCATCTATAGTTCTTTCTCACTCTTTCCTTTTTGGTCCTTCCTTTTTCCTTCCTCCCTTCCTTTCTCTTTCTTTTCTCTCTCCCTCCCTCTTTCTTTCTTTCTTTCTTTCTTTCTTTCTTTCTTTCTTTCTTTCTTTCTTTCTTTCTATATGGCTCAGATAGACACATCTATAGTGAGAAAGATTTCTTGCTTTCCTTCTTCTTGGTCCTTCCTTTCCTTTCTTTTTCCTTCCTTCCTTCCTTCCTTCCTTCCTTCCTTCCTTCCTTCCTTCCTTCCTCTTCTCTCTCTCTCCCTCCCTTTCTTTTCATTCTTTCTATCTAGCTCAGATACATCTATAGTGAGAAAGAACTCATTTCTTTCCTTTTCCTTCCTTCCTTCCTTCCTTCCTTCCTTCCTTCCTCCCTCCCTCCCTCCCTCTCTCTCTCCCTCTCTCTCTCTCTCTCCAATTGTTAAGTGAATCACTTTAGTTCCTAAACTGTTAAATGAATCTGGCTTCCTCATTTACTTGGCTAGGGAGAAGATAGCAAAAACCGATCACGTGACCCCAGAACTCTGCAACCGTCATAAATATGAGCCAGTTACCAAGCGTCTGAACTTCGATCGTGCACGCTTTGGGATGCTGTCACGGTCAGAAGTGTGAAAAACCGATCATAAGCCCCCTTTTTTCCCAGTGCCGTCGCAACTTTGAACGGTCACGAAATGAACTGCTGTAAGTCAAGGACTACCTGTGCGTTCCGAGACGGAGGCGTGTTCTGTGGGGCAAAGGATGTGGAATATTCATGCTGGGGAAGAATTTAGAAAAATGTTCTAAATTCCCAGACGAGAACCTTTAGGAGAAATTTGCAAAAGTTTCGAACTCGGGGAGGGGCAAAGGAAAGGCCAACGGATGGGAAGAGGAGAGGCGGGAAAGAGAAAGGAAGATGGATTTTGCAGCATGCCGGTTCCCAAACCTGCCACTGGGTCTTCTATTATAATGCTGATGTCTCTGCGCCCTCCTAAGGACGCGTAGCGAAGCAGAAAAGAAGGTTAAGAGAAAAACAGGATGAAAATATTAAAAAAGGTTGCTATTTTTCCGAGAGAGAATCCGATCGGGTTCGCTTTGGGGAGCATCGGTGTTGTCGCACACAGATCTTCGCAAGCCCATTGATGATGCTCTTCAGTTATAACCATTTCTCCCCTTTTTTTTCTGAATTTTTATAGCTGTTTTTTTTTTGGCAACTTTAAGACGGGTGGACTTCAACTCCCAGAATTCCCCAGCCAGCCATGTCTGTTTCTTTTTCCCTTACCCCCTAAAATGGAGAGATTGCAGAGGAAGGGATTACAAGAGAGTATGAACTATGCTGGCTGGGGAGAATTCTGGGAGCTGAAGTCAATAGAATAGAACAGAACAGAACAGAATAGAATAGAATATAGAATATAGAGAATAGAATATAGAATATAGAGAATAGAATATAGCATATAGAATACAGGGAATAGAATAAGATATAGAATATAGAGAATAGAATGAAATATAGAATATAGAGAATAGAGAATAGAATATAGAGAATAGAGAATAGAATAGAATACCAGTTAGAAGGGACTTTGGAGGTCTTCTAGTCTAACCTCCCCATACCAGTGATGGCGAACCTTTTCGGCCCCATACCCAAAATGCAAGGGGCGCACACCCCCGTGCATGCGTGCAACCCCCCCCCCCAAGCATGCATGGCAGAGACCTGAAGACCAGCTGGTTGGCTGGCGGGAGGCATACACATGCGCAGTGGAGCTGAGCTGAGGAGATGGCGCACGTGCCCACAGAGACAGCTCCGTGGGGCACCTGTGGCACGCATGCCATAGGTTCACTACCACGGTCCTTATACCATCTCAGACAAATGTTTATCCAATCTCTTCTTAATGATTGGAATAATCCAATCTCTTCTTCTCTTCTCTCCTTGACACTTCTATGTGTCAAGACACACTTCTACACACGCACACACACAAAACAACCCCCCTTACCGTGAGCTTTCGCAGAAGCTACGTTGGTGTCCGAATGGGAACGCACGTGGCTCCGTTTGGGTTTCCCTTGCGGGATCGAGGCCTGTCCCTCGGAGAAACTGGACCGTCGCAACAGCGAGGACTTCCAGCTGCCTCCCAGCTCCCCCCAGGAGGAGCCCGATTCCTGCTTCTGGGAGCTGCTGGATGAAAACAGGTTGGAGGTGCTGCTCCCCGAACTGTTCAGAGTGGCAGTGCCGGATTCTTCGGGGCTGTCGCAGGGCCGACTCGCCCGGCCGAGATTGCCGATGGCCAGGTATTCCGGCCCGTCTGTCTCATCTTGGCTTCCGGACCAAGAATCTGAGTTTGGGTTGGGCAAAGGCCCGGGGCTTGTTCCAGAAGCCGGGACGTTGTCGTCGTCATTGGGGCCAGAGATCCTGAGATGAGGAGGAGGAGGAGGAGGGCCGGCTGGAGGTAGGGAGCACCTGCCTTCCTGGTGCCGGTGAGCGGAAGTCCAAGCGGCATTTTCTTGAGACTGGATGGTGCCACCGAACGCCGGAGGGCTTGATAATCTCCTGTCTAGGAAGAGAAGGAGAAAGAAACGAGGAAGCCGCGTTATTTTCGGTGAAGATATGGATACGAGAACATACCGGTGGCCGTCAACGTTCTCGCCCAGCCCAGCCCACCTCGCGGGAAAATAGGAGGAAGGAGTTTTAGATATGCCTGCCACCTTGAGTTAGTTATCAAAACAATAAAGGCAGGATAAATTAAATACGTTCTAGGACCGTGATGGCGAACCTATGGCACACGTGCCACAAGCGGCACGCAGAGCCATTTGTGCTGGCACGCGAGCCGCAGGCAAACTTACCTCACTGTGCATGCACGCACCTCACAGCTGATTTTGGGGGGCTGGTTTGAGGCCTTTTTCGGCCTCCCAGAGGCTTGGAAAAAGCCTCTGCAAGGCTTTTCAGGACGAATTATAGGCCCGTTTTGTCACTTCCGTTATTACAGGAAGTGATGAAACGGGCCTATAATTTGGCCTGAAAAGCCTCGCAGAGGCTTTTTCCGAGACTCTGGGAGACCGAAAAAGGCCTCAAACCAGCCCCAAAATATCAGCTGTGAGGAGCAGTGCAGGTAAGGGGGTGGGGTGGTAGGGAATTGCATGCGAATGTGCAGGGGGTGAGGGGAGGGGGGGCACACATTGCATTCTGGGTGCTGGCACACGAGTGGGTGCGTGCTGGTGCATGCGCAATTTTTGGCACAGGAGCCCAAAAAGGTTAGCCACCATTGTTCTAGGATATATTCAAGAATGTTCCTCTGGAGATCCGTATCGGAAGTCCTCGATTTATGACCAGAATTAGGACCAGAATATCCATTCCTAAGCAAGGCAATTGTTAATGGCAATAGCACTTAGACTTATATAGCGCTTTCCAGACCCTCTCTAAGCGGTTTACAGAGTCAGCCTCTTGCCACCCAACAATGCGAGACAGCTTGAAGACGTGTGGACTTCAACTCCCAGAATTCCTCCTCTTCCAGTCGTATTTAGCTCTGGAATTCTGGGAGCTGAAGTCCACAAGTCTTAAACTTGCCACGTTTGAAGACTCTTGCACTAAGGAAGGCAATTAATAGAAAATCAATAAAATTTATTTAAAAATTAAAAAAAAAAACCCTGCAACGAACGTCAACCTCAAACCGAACGGCGGCATTTGTGCTGCTGCAGCAACTGAGCGGCAGAAAAGATATTTTTTTTAAAAAAATAAATGAAAATCCGGGACACGCCACCACTCGGGGCTTACCTGGGATGTTGGCACAGGTGGACGGAAACCCGGAGAAGGAGCCAAGGTACCGCGGGGCTGCACTTTCGGCGGAAGCGGTAGGGGTAGGTCCCAGGAGGGCTGTGAGGCTCTTCGTCCTGGGCTCGGAGGATTCCCCGCTCCTGGCAAACTGAAAGGAGGGCTACGTTGAGGCAAGAGCCACGCAGGGCACGAAGGGTCCCCACTAGCGGGGCGTGTCCTGCTTGGAATTGGGCCGTGGGAGTGGCTGGAGTGCGCGCAGATCAACTTGCATGAAGGGAAGGCCGCCCACGTGGCCCCGGTCCCCCTCTCTCTCTCCCCCTGCTGGGACTATATGAAGGACGACTGAAAAAAGAAGGGAAGACCCTAAAGCAGACGGAAATCCCAAGGAAGGAAGGAAGGAAGGAAGGAAGGAAGGAAGGAAGGAAGGAAGGAAGGAAGGAAGGA